CTGGGAGTTCATGTGGAATGAGCGCCTGGGTTACATCCTGACCTGCCCCTCCAACCTGGGCACTGGGCTGCGAGCAGGCGTCCACATCAAGCTGCCGCTGCTCAGCAAGGTATTACCATGGCTGGTTTTGTGGGGAGCCAGGCCAGGGCTGCAGGGAGCCCTGTCTGCCAGGGTGCAGGGAGCCCAGCCACACGGGAGGTGCAGGACTGCATGCGACCCGGCCCTGGACCTCACTCGGGTTCCCCCAGAAAGCATACGGTCCAGCCCCTGCCTGCATCTGTGGCTGGAGGGGCCGGGGACCCAAATGTCAACCTGGGTCTGCTCAGGACAGGGCTCCCTGCGGGGATTACGAGCCTGCTGATGGGGTCCTGTGAGCGGAGGGTGGGCTCAGTCAGCTACAGAGCCCCAACTCCCTTGCTGATGGTCCTGCTGAGCACTGACACCTTCTCTGGGCATCAGGACAGCCGCTTCCCTAAGATCCTGGAGAACCTCCGGCTACAGAAGCGTGGGACAGGCGGTGTGGACACCGCAGCGACTGGTAGCATCTTCGACATCTCCAACCTGGACCGGCTGGGGAAGTCCGAGGTGGGTGCCGGGCAGAGCTGCTTTTGGGGAGGGAGGTTCTGGAGCGTGTGTGCACGAGGCCTGCAGTGTCCAAACAGCTCCAGGGCCAGGTGCTGGGGCCAGCACGTGGGTGCTGGGGGTGGCAGTGCCTGCCCTTCATGCAGTGGGGCCAGCCAGCCGCCTTGCTGGCATGGCTACCAGGACAGCCCCCCAGTCAGGATGTGTGTGCTCCTGGTGCAGGTGGAGCTGGTGCAGCTGGTGATAGACGGTGTGAACTACCTGATTGACTGTGAGCGGCGGGTGGGTGGAGAAGGGGCAGGACATCCGCATCCCCTCCCCGGTGCCGCAGTTCCGGCACTGAGCTGGACCAAGGTAGCGCCAGCCCTGCGGGACCCAGCTGCCCCCATAGCTTATGCGATCTCTGTGCCCAGCATGTCGCTGTGTCCTGTTACCCACAACACGCCAGGACAGACCCCATAAACATGCGCTGCTGTAGCTGCGGCTCAGTCTCCTCCTTACCCCAGCACCCGCCGCCCCATCGATCTCCCCAGTGCCCTGTGCCCCTGCAGAGAGTCATCCACCTGGGTCTGGGCTGCACCCTAAGCAGCCCTCCCCAGGATTTCCCTGAGCCACTGCCACCCTGGGGGAGGGGCCTGGGGGGTCTGCTGGGGCTGCCCTGGTCTAGGGGGCTGCAAAGGACTGCGTGTGGGTAGGGAGCTGTGGAGCATCCTGCTGCAGGGTGCCAGGAGCTGCTGGGACAGTCAAGGCCAGGCAGGGAGCAGTGCTCTGGGGCCACATGTCGCTGAAGGCAGGCAGGGAGCAGAGCTCATCACTTGTGCCCATCACAAGTTTATTACTGCGATACTCACAGAAAGCAGCGGGGCAAGCAGAGGAGGAGAGCCAAGGTGAAGCCAGACCAGGGCTTGGCTCCGCTCCTGTCTGCAGGAGAGAAAGCACCGTCAGAGCTGAGTGTGCCAGCCCTGGCGCTCTGTGGAGAGGCTCACGTCCCTGCTGCTGCTGAGAGCCTTCACCATGCTGCAAGTAGCAGGGAGGTCTCCTGGGCAGAGGTGGGATGGGACACAGCCGAGAGGCAGCGGGGCCAGCCTCCCCGTGGGGCAGCGCTGCAGGCACCAGGGCCAAACCCGCATGACCTGAGCCCTCCCGGCATCCCGGGGTGCCCGTGCTGAGCCCGGAGGTGCAGAGCCGGGACAAGGCATGACCAGGCAGAGGAGCTGCCTGCAACAGGCAGGCTAGGCACTGTGTGGGGACAGAAACCACCCTGCTACTCTCACCTTGGCCATCCTGGGCAGCTTCTCCCTCGCACTGGGCGCTGGCCAAGGCCTGGCGTTGGACGCTGCCGAGCCACCGGCGCTGCTCCCGGCAGCCTGGGCACTGGAGAGGGTGCGCAGCTGAGCTGGGCCAAACACCACCTGCGGGGAGAGGGCAGCCAGCCACAGCGAGGCCCTGTGCCCACTCGCCGGCACAGCCAGGACACATCCCATCTCCGTGCCTCTGTGTCTGGTGGGGGGGCTCCCACCACGCTGCCCTGGCCATGGATCCCCCCTCTCCTGCATGCAGGGGGACCCCGACCGAGAGTGCCAGTGGACACCAGGAACTCACTGCAAACTTGGGTGCTGGGACAGCAGCGATGGCCCGGGGCGTGAGTGCCCAGATCTGCTCGGGGACCAGCGCAGAGAGGACAATGTCGGGGAGCCCAGCTGGGGCACAAAGGGCAGGGTCAGGACGCTGTCCTCAGGCACAGGGGCCGAGCGGGCAGGCAGCAGCAACCGCAGGGCAAGGCCCCATCCCAGCCCTCACCTGCCAGCGTCCCGACCTCCGCAAAGA